TATATATATATAATATATAATAATATTATAATATAATATTATATAAAATAAATATAATTATTAAAAAATATAATAATATAACAAATTTTTTTATAATTATAAAATCACGAGAGAGATTCTTCTTCTTCGCAAGTTTTTAGAATAAAATGACTGAATCTTGATAAAAATCGATCGTGTTCGATATATTCACCAACACATTTTGAATTTGTCGAGAACACGGCGACGGGGTTCAACGTACCATTCTATGGGAATCGTGACGTTCGATCGAGAACTTTGATAATTGGCAGTGCTTTCAAATCGAGCTATGTACTGCTAGAGTCCATTCGACTGAACCGATAACGTCTCGTCACTTTGATACCTTCGTAAAATAAAAATAAAAAGAAAATAAAATAAATGGAAACAATAACCCAAAATAAATTATAATGCAATGAAAAAAAAAAACAAGTTACATAAAATAAAAAGATAAAATAACAAGAAGAAGAAAAAGAAAATAAATGACGTAACCATTTTATTTTATTTTTTTTTTTTATATAACAAGCGTGTTATCGTATTAGAATGACTCCTTCTCTAACACGTTTACGTTGCAAATGAACGCATTTAGGTCAGGCGATATTTAACTCGTTGTTGTTTTTCTTTCTTTTTTCTTTTTGGTTTTTTTTTCTGTTTTTAGAATTAACTTTATCTTTTTTCTCTATTTCAAATACGTGTCTCATATTTTTGTACTTGACAAGAAAAAATTTCTGATCATCAAACAATAAATAAATTTATTGTCCTAGGTATATTAATTTAAAAGAAAACTATAGTGTGGGATCATTTTGCTTAAAACATTTTAAGCTGAATCAACGAAATTCCAGAAGTGAAGTTGAAGTTGAAGTGAAGTGATTTTCTAAAGAGAAAAGTGATATCTCGAAGACACCCCATTGGTGTGGGGTAGAATAAGTAGGAGCCAAAAAAAAAAAGAAAGAATGAAAGAATGAAAGAATGAAGGGTTGAAAGGTGCTTTAGCACGATCGAACGAGTCACGGTTTTGAAGATAAGAGTTGAGAGTCACTGTCTTAAAACAGCACTGCGTGTGCCAGATCGATACCTACGCCGGCTACCCTTAAACTCTCTCAAATGCAGACCGATGTGAACGCAGAAACCATGTTTTTTTTCCCCTCTCTCTTTTCTCTTTTTTTTTTTGCTTTTACCTTTCATTTCTCATTAACAAAAGTAAATTATCCACAGTAAACAAAATATCAAACATTAAGTTACCAAATTACCATTATTTCCCATTAACACTTTAATAGCTGTTCACACAACATGTTTGTGATATTAGGAACAATCGTTATTTATTTATAAATTAAATTTGTTGTTGTTATTTTTTTTTTTTGATGTTAGTTTTTTCGTCAATTTAATAAAGCTCTTTTAAATTAATTTTTCAAAAATATTACCATCCCCCTAGCGACGTTTGACTGCGTAAACGTGCGGCTATTAAAGTGTTAATAATCAATCAACAATTTTATTATTTCCTTCTTAACACACAAATACGCAAACAAACAAAATTAAAAAAAAAAAAAAAAAACAATAAATAAATAATAAAGAAGAACAATTGACAGAAGAAATGAATTTTGAAATTAATTAATACGCTTTTTTAATGAGTGTGCCTTGAAAAAATATACACCAAATTAATTCAATTGAACAATTAATAATTAATCGAATAAAAATTACGAAATTAAATCAAACTATTCGTGTTTTCGTTTATTTGCTATTACAAATTGATACTCTCTTGTTTTGTTTCATTTTTGCCCTCATTAACACCTAGGATACTGGTAGTAGTAGTTCAACGTTGAAGGAGTCAAAATTACTGACAGTTCGTGAACGAAAACAACAACGACATGATTCTCCTTGTGAGGGAGTTGCAACGTGAGATGAAGGGCAGACGCCTCGTTTGTTTCGTCACAATATGTGAGCGTTGCGAAGGCTCTTATTTACAGCACACAGCCCTCTCGAACCTTTAAAACGGGGGTGTCAGGCTTGTGAACAGAAGAGCCAGGTCGTAGTGGTGAGGGTGGTAAGGGTGGGTGGTGGTGTGTGCAAGGTGAGCGAGCTTGCTTTTTTCACTATATTTTTCTCTTTTTCTTTTTTTCACCCTCTTTTGCCGTATATTTCTATCTCTGTCAGACTTATATATGTACATATATGCATATATGTATGTATATATATATATATGTATATAGAAACGAACGAACGCATAGAAAAAGAAAGGATAAAAAATAAGGGTGGGTGGTGGTATGGTGTTGGTACCTATAACGTCGAAAAGAGGGTGAAAGAGGGAGAAATAGGGAATGGGATGGGATGGGGGGATGAAATGTGGAGTAATAACGCGCAAGAGACGAAGACGAGAAAATATCTCGCTGGAAGCTAGGAGATTTTAAGCTGCTGTTATTAATACCGAAGAAGTCATGTCGTACTATAAGCAGTCTTATATAAACGCTTTTTATACTTTCTTTCTTTCTCTTCTTCTTCTTCTTATTCGTATTCGTATTCTTATTCTTATACTTCTATTTCTCTCTTTCTCTATTTTTTTATTCTTCTACAATTTTTAATTTTTTTATTTCCATGTTTTTTCTATTTCGCATAACATAATATCGATAGTAAGGTTTAAGGTCTAAATAAATTTAATAATGAATTATATATATATGTGGTATAATTATATTAGAATTAGTTATTAATTTATTATATTATAATATTATTATATGTACTTACATATTAATTTAGTTATTAATTATATATTAGATTAAATAAGGTATAGATTAAATAAATAATATATAATTAATATATTATTATAACTAATATGTTAGATTAAATAAAGGTATAGTTATATTAGAGATTTTTATTTTTTATATTTTTATTTTTGTTATTTTACATAACATAATATCGATAGTAAAGTTTAAAGTCTGAATAAATTTAATAATTAATTATTTATATTTATATGGCTTAATTAATATTAGATTTAGTTATTAATTTATTATTATAATATTATTATATGTATTTACATATTTTAATTTAGTTATTATTAATATAGTAGATTGTATAATATATATAAATTTATTATATTTATATTAAATATTTTTTATATTATTTTTCTTTTTTCTTTTTTTTTTTAAATAGAAATACATAAAATTATTGTAATATGATAAAAAATTAGATTTGAATTAGTTAATTCTATAATAAAAAAATTTATCGATATTATTCGTCACGAGATATAATGCAGAATTTTCTCTTTTTATTTATTTTTATTTTTTTTTTTTTTTTCTAACTAACAGCGAAATGTTTTTCTGAACCGAAACGTTTTAAGGAGAAGGGTGTGTGGGAAAGTGATCGAAAAGGGCTGAACTTTATCAACAACAATCCCCCCTCAAAATACTTGATTTCTTTTTCTTGATCGAACACTTACGTAGAAGAAGAAAACCACACGACTGGTATGAAACTGATAGGACGTTGAGCTTTCGCATAACTATTTGATCGAGTTCGTTCAACCCTCTTTAACGTATACACCCATATATATATATATAGATGTAGCTATGTATATACTAAGAAAAATGCCATTTCAGGATGTTTAATCGAACGTTCAAATCATGATTTACACTCAATTTACGTTGTCAATGCGTATTGCTTTACGAACTGGAAGAAAAAAAAGTAAGAGTTCGTTCTTTTAATATCCTTTTGTCATTAATTCTGCTCCATTTAAATTTATGATATATGTATAATGATTTCGTGATTCAAAGAAATGGGGACAAAAAAAGATCCTATTTTCTACTAAAAAGAAAAAAAAAGAAAAACAAAGAAAAACCATCAAAAGAGAAATGAAAAATTTATTTTCATTGTATCAAGAAATATAATAATTACGTTACAAATTATTAATATCAATTAAAATTTGTTGAAATCATTATATTCTATAAATATGGAAATAATAATTATATATTATATTATGTGTATGTTATTTTATTTGTATTATATTATATATTATAAATTATTTTGTTTATATTATTTAAATTATATAATATTATGTATATGTTATTTTATTTATATCCCCTTATATATTATAAATTATTTTGTTTATATTATTCATATAATATAATATTACGTATATGTTAATTTATTTATATTATTATATATTATAAATTGTTTTGTTCATATTATTTATACTATATAATATTACGTATATGTTATTTTATTTATATTATATTATATATTATAAATTATCTTATTTATATTATTTATATTATATAATATTATGTACATTATCATATATTGTAAAATTATTCGATTGACATTTAATTTCGTATTGATTCGAGTAATTTGAAAAAATCGTATTTAAAGTAAAAAAAAGAAAAGGTGTGCCAATTTATATTCGTGTTCGATGAAATATATATACAAAAAGTATTGTTTTAACTTTATTCGTAAAAACTTGATGTACCTTTTTATGAATTGTTTTTATATCCACTATTATGTGAAGAAGAGTAAAAAGAAAAAATAATTAACAACTTGAAGAGGGAGAAATATATTCACAATTTACAAACAAGTTTTACCATATTTTTCATTGGACTTTTGGTAACAAACAAATCTCTCTTTTTCATTCCTGAGATGAATTCAACGAGTGGATCGATTTAATTTGTAGCTGACTGACTGAGTGAAGTTTTCGATAACAAGATCGGGAAAGAGAGAAAGAGAGCGAGAGAAAGAGAAAAAGAGAGAGAGAGAATAAACGTGTATTGAAAAATTATTTCGAAAATTTCATGGTATTTTTTTTTCAAGTGAAAACTTCTTTAGAGTGAGAATGATTTTTGTAAATCGGTGAAACACGATAAAATGAAAAATATGTCACTTATAAAAAACAAACATGTTCGTAATAGATGAAAATTAATTTGACATTGGTAAAACATACGATTGCGTAGTGAAAATTCGATTCGTTCGAATAATTTAGATTTAGAAATTTGGAGAAAATTCAAACTCACTTCGCTACGATGACCACGAAGGTTGTAGTTTGCTCGTAAGGGAAGTTCAGCAGCTCTGGTACGACAATGCGAAGTAGTAAATGTCACACCGACAAGACCACGAGCATTCCCGGTAGCTAACCAACCTTCCTGATAGTAATTTGTACGGTCAAGCTTCCATCCTTCGTCCTGAAACACAAACAACAAAAAATATTACTTTACGTATGTAGCAGAATGTACGAACTTTTTCATTTTGTAATAATTAATTAATTACTACTACTATGACACTGAAAAGGAAAGAAAAAACAAAATTTTAAATACAGTAATTATGATATATTATATATTATTATAAAATAATATATTTAGTATATTTTCTCATTAATTTATAAATTATTAAGATTTGACAAGTATTTTAATAATATTTGATTTGAAATAATTTTGTAAAGTGTTAATAACGTGTTGGTTTTTTTATTTAATAATTATATTAATTACCACTATTACACTGAAAAGAAAAAGAAATAATTATAATATATTAATAAATATAATAGTTAGATTATATTATAATATTATTAATATATATTGTGCAAATAGTTATATATATATATATATTTATTATATATATATATTTATTATATATATAATAATAATTAATTAAAGAAAGTATACTTTCTTTACATATATATTAAAATATACCTATATTTATATAATAATATATATTAATATAAAATATAATAAAATATATATTAATATTATAAAATAATATTATAAATTATATATATAATAATAATAATAATAATATAAATAAATAATGTTATCTACATATATATAATAATAAATATATAAGTAATTTTGATATATTATACTAGTTGGTATATTTTCTCTTATTAATTTATATATTATTAAAAGATTTTATAAGTATTATAATAATATTTGATTTGAAATAATTTTGTAATATTGTTAATAACGTGTTGTATATATAAAAGAACAATGAGAGAGAGATTGCTAATGAACTGACATATATTAAGAAGTAATTAAGAAATAATTAAGAATTACAGGAAACGTTCGATCGATTCATCCAATTACGATTCTAATCTTCGAAATAATATCTCATTCCTCGTGTATGTGTGAAACGTTTATACATCAATGGAAGGTGTAAAATTCAATCTGATCGTGTGAAATACGAATTTATACACCATTTTCTATTTTACATATCATCTTTCTTTGTATCCAGAGTAATTACACATAATTAAACGTTTTTACTATTAAAAAAGAAAAAAAAAGTGGTAGTAAAGTAGAAAAGAAAAGAAAAAAAAAAAAAGAACAAAGGAACATTGAGAAAGTATGAAGAGAGAGAAAGAGAGGAGTGTATCGGTTATCTGATATCCTTTTAATGGGTAGAAAAAGACAGATAGATAGATATAGCTAGTTAGATAGAAAAAGAGAGAGAGAGAAAGAGAGAGAAAGACTAAACGAAAATCGTCTGGGTCACGACTGCTGTTTGAAGAATATTCGATTACGAGAAGCCCGACGACGTATATTCGCTCACGGCGATATGGTGAGTTAGGGTTGTACCTAGTCCGTTGCCAAGGAGAAAGATGAAATTCTCGACGGAAATGAAGCCTGAGTGAAGAAAGGTTCGTGTTGCAATGAAAAGTAAGAGAGAGAAAGTAAGAATTAGAGAGGGTGGAACACATTTAGTAGGCGTTTCGTCCAAGAAATTTAATTGAAGAAACCATCCCCCTATTCTCGTGTACATATGTAATTGCCCAATTACAATCTACAAAAAGAGAAAAAGAAGATAAGGTCTTATTACACGTTTCATTTTCCTTTTCTTTATTTTCGTCGATTGAAAAAAAAAAAAGAAAATAATAACAAAAACAAAAAGAGATTTAATGAGAAAAAATGAAAATTATGTTAAGTAATTAGAAGTATTAGAAAAAAAATTATTACAATTTAAATGTTACAAAATAAAATATACAAATAAATATTAAAAAAATTTTTAAATCAAAATTATTTATTATTACATTCGATTTAAATATTATAAAATAAAATATATATAAAAAAAAATTATGCACAAAAGATATTATAAAATTAACAAAATTACAATTATTTATTAATATATTCAATCTAAATATTATAATAAAATATACAAAAAAAAATTACACACAAAAAATTATACCAAAAATATTAAAAATAAAATATACCAATAAATATTATAAAATTTAGAAAATTACAATATTTTATTAATATATTCAATTTAAATATTAACAAAATTATAAAATTAAAATTATAAAATTAGTATTTTTTAAGTATTAGAAAAAATACGTATACTTGTATTACGAACCACATTAGGGAAAGGGCCCTTTATTAATTATTCTTTATTTTATGTTTTATTAAATGTTTTATTAATTTTGTTTTTTTGTTTTGTTCATTGGTTTTAACGAATAAAAAATATATTATCAAATGTGCCTGTATATATATATATATATATATATATATATATATATATATATATATATATATATATATGTGTGTGTGTGTGTATATACTAAAAAATTTGGTTCTAAGCTCTGTTAACGATACTCGAGCACCTGAAAATCGCCCTTGTAAATTACCCCTAAACGAAAAGAGAGAATGAGATAAAGAGAGAAGAACGTTCTCTCTCATTCTCTCTCTTTCTCTCTCTCTCTCTCTCTTATGCGGTAAGTAGTAAACTCGAAGAACAAAGGGCTTCTCTCTGGTTATAGCTTAAAACCAGTAGAAGAAGAACAATGGTCGCGTTTGACTTCGTCGTCCAAAGAAATCGCCGCGGAGAAAGGAAAGGAAAAGGGTTAGGGGCAAGGGGTAGGAAAGGGGTAGGAAATTTTCCTAAGCCGATCTTTTCGTTCTTTCGTTCGTTTCGTTCTTCTTGTTGAGCTTGAAAAGCTCGTTCGATAAATCGTGTCTCCGTGAAAGAGTTTATTTTCTCTCTTATCTCTCTCTCTCTCTCTTTCTCTCTCTCTCTCTCTCTCTCTCTCTCATTCTCATTATCTTCTTGTTATTATCGAACGAGGGTTGGGATCCTTCTTTTAAATTATTCAACGATACCGTTTTAATGCCAGTCAGTCAATTCATTTGCATGTTTCCAAAACAAAATACAATAGAGAAGAAAAAAAATTCATGAATATATTATTTTAGAATAATTAGTGGAAAAATACATAATATATGTATATTGAAAAATTACTAACAATAATTATTGTATGTGTATGTGTGTGTGTACTTTTCTTTTTCCTTCTTATCTAAATTTCACATTCATATTTTATTTTATTTTATTTTTTTTTTTTTTTTAATATTATCCAACTTTCGTGGCTTTCTAGTATACATTTTTTGTATTCAATTTGAAAGTCTCGAAAGAATTATAATTTCAGTACGTAGCTCAAGTTTCTTCATTAAAAATTTCTGCTAGCATGAAAAAAGACATTCATACATTCATATATATATACCATCGTTATTTATTATATATATATATAATAAATAACGATACGATATATATATAAAATAATATATAATATATAAATAATTTATATAATGAAATAATATTAAAAATTATAATGAAAAAATAATTATAATAATAATATTATAATATATGTTATATATATTATATTATATAATATAATATATATGTTATATAATTTATATTTTATTATAATTATAATATTATTTTTTACCTGGTATATAGTATTATACCATTTTTTTTGTTTTTTACTATTAATATTATATTCGTTTATTTACTATAAATATTATATACTATTTACAGTATATAATATTTATATATTATGGAGACCAACTTGGTCTATATAAACAGACCAAACTATGGTATATATATATATATACATGCAATTTATATTGCGTTTTTTGTGTTAGTATTAAGTGTAGTAGAGGAAGAAGAAGAAAAAGAAGAAGAGGAAGAAGAAGAAAAAGAAGAAGAGGAAGAAGTTGATTAGTGACGTAGATTTTGCGGATAGCGTGATCTCATGAAAGATGATTATCCAATGGGACGAACTTGCGAAACGAAGGAACGAATAGAAAATAAAGTATTTGAAGTTTCTCATGAGACTAAGGACATAGGATCGTTAAAAGCAAAGCTTTTCTAATTTTCGATGGGCAAGCACCTCCTACCATGCAAACTCGCGTGTCTAAGCATCCACACATCATACTATTACCAATGCAACATGCTAACATAAGAATGAGGGAATTTTTTTTTTACTATTGAAAAATATGAAAACGGTGAAATATAAAATACTTCAGGGACGACGATTCAAATGAATGCTCGAGACGTTTTAACCCTTTTCTTCCTTCCTTTCTTTCTTTCTTTCTTCATTTTTTTCTTTTGCTTTCTTTTATTCTTTCCTCGGTTCTTTCTTTTCTTAATATTTTGTTCTCTTTTTATTTTTTTTTATTTCTTTCCTTCCTTCTTTCTTTCCTTCCTTCTTTCTTTCATTTAACTCGGGGGTGGAAGGGTTGATGAAGAACGACTAACAATGAAAACCGATTCGAATACCGTATATACATTGACAATTAGAAATAAAAATGTCTAATTTGATTAAATTCCATTCGAGCTTGTTATTTCTGATCATTTTTGACCTTTCTCTTTTTTTTATTATTATTATTTTTTTTTATATTTCATATAAAAATCTCTTCCATTGTTTCCCTTATTATTTTGTTGATTTATTTAAAATGTAAAATGTATGGTTACGGTATAAATATATATATAGTAATATTATAGTTAATATTTAAATATTTAATATTTAATAATTAAAAATATTATAAGTAATATTTAATATTATTATAGTTATAATAATAAAATAATTATAATATAGTTATATGTAATATAAATAATATATATTATAATAGTATGTGTAATAATGTATGTATGTAATAACATATATATGTTATTACAAATATGATCTATTATATTTTTCAAGATAGTTTAATTATCACCTGTCTTGAGTAACTTAAAACAACAACAAACACTGAAAGAAAAGATTGTTTTTTTTTCTTTTTAAACTTTCTTCCACCCTTATTCTTTCCCTGTGATTTACTTTCTAACTTTAAATTAAGAAAAAAAGTTGATGTTGATGATGGTGCTTGTTATTTAAATTACATTTAAATTGAAGTTCGTTTAAAAGACACGCACACCTTTTTTTCTT